AAGAGGGGGGGGAGGAGGGGGATTCTTACCGTGGATTGCGGTGAGCCGTAGAGCGAGATCCTGTAGCTTCCCTCGGTTTCGTAACTCCTTCCAGGGCACGACGCAACGCGCACGTACAGTAAACACACACATGCACACGCAGTTTTCATCGTCTTTGTTGGCGGCAGCTGCAGTGCAGCGAGTAGCAACGTTGATTGCCTAAAGGTGATGCAAGTTTTTGGCATTTCTTGAGAGTGTGCGACGCGCGTCTCTAGATCGTGGCGAGCTGGCTCATCGTGAGGTGTCTGCCAAGAAAAAGAGAAGACAGCCCAGTAGCTAGAGAGAGACCCGGGCATCCTGACCGCTTGTACAACGCAACGTGGGGCAAACCCCTCGGAAAGAAATCTATGCATTGGCTTACGACCCCAACGCCAAGCTCGATGGGTAGAAACTGAGAGATGGAGGTGCGTCGGGTATCTCTCGAATTCTCAAAAAAAAATAAGGAACAACAAACTAAATTGCCGCGGATTCCGACTTCCGACCATAAAAAGCAGGGTCCCCACACTACTTCGAACGTCGCTTCCAGCAGTTCCGAGTCCCGAGAGAACCTAAACAACAGCATGCAAGAATATGCTACGCCGGGTGCGCGTGCGGTTCTCTCCGACTGGTTACAACCGCCCCAACACCACAGTTAGGTATATCGCAAGCTAGGGGCCGTCACTGATGTACCACTAACTTTCACACGAAGCTGCCAACATAAAAGTACAACGGCGCTTGATTGTACTCGAGCACCCGTGCAGGTTATGTAGAAAAAACTGTGCTTCCGAAAAAAGATCGGCGGTGCAAACACCACCGATCGCATCGCGCGCCTCTTACGCCATCTCTCCCTCAAATGGCGCCGTCTGCCTGCCTGCTTGTTTGTCTGCCTGCCTGCTTGTATGTCTGTCCGACTGTCTGCCTCGTCTATGTCTCTGTCTATGTCTCTCTCTCTCTCTGTCTCTCTCTGTCTCTCTCTCACTCTCATGTCCCTTCCGCCCTGCTTCCGTCAAAAAGAAGACAAACAACGAGATTCTTAAAGCTGGCTCACGTTTGATCGTTTAGCTCCATTGAGTTCTGCAGCTGGATGGGGATGTTGAGCCTCATCGCGAGGTAGATGCTCTGGTGCGTCCTCTGCGCGTTCGCGTTTGGAAGCGTATTTCCATTAGAGGCAAGCACGAAAAGCATTGACAAACCAGGCCAGACGACCAACAAGCGCGCGTGGTACGAAGAAACAGCAAAAAAGAACAAACGAAGACGCGAACGCGTGTCAATGACAAACCTTCCGACAAAACAAAGGAACATTACTGGCAAAGGTGGACAGCTCACCGCTTGCTAAGGGGGGGG